CTCCGGTCTTTAGTGTTTAATTCATCAAATCTGTTCTTCAGATGATCTCTAAATTCAGGAGGGATAAATTCAAGATCATATTTTGGCTCTCATAGATTTGTTTTCATTTTTTTCAGCTTTAATTTGAATTTGCATACCCATTTTGGGTAGCCAATGTCCAAGTTGCCCATCCCCGTGAACACTGTGTATTGAGAGGGTGGGAATGATCCTCACTATAAGAATTGTTCCCTCTTTTGAGCTACTGCATCCATAGGTTTAGGTCAAGTTCATCAAATTGTATCAGATTACACTTTTTTTCCTCTTCTTTCTTCTTCTAGTTGAATTTTGATCACACAGCCACTGAAGCCAGGTCAAGTGTGTATTATCTGCAAGTGTGGTTGTTCTTGTGCAGATACCATCACCTCTTATCACCTGGAAGCTTCACTCACCACTCTAGTCCTCTGTGGCTATGTCACTGACTCTGAGCCCAGGAGTCCCCGGGTGTTGCCAAACTGCTGGACAACCAGGTCTCCATCCATGTTCAAAGGAGTCTATTTAACATGGTAGAGCTTAGCTGGCTGCTTCATTGCTGTTTCTCCCTCACTTCCCATCATCAGTGACCAACATGGTCACCAGTCAGAGCGCACATCTGCTCATGTATTCCCATTGAGTCTTACTCTTGGAAGGGGGTTGCCCTGAGGGGACCCTACCACTTGCCTTGATGTCTGCTGGGCGAGCAACTTATTTGTTCTTGTAGTAGTTAGACTGCCATTATTGTTTTGTATTTTTCCTGTCGGTCTTTCTTTCAAGAAGTATCTTCTGTTCTTCTAGCCGCTCCAGGATGGTCTGCTTGTCCTTTCAAGTGGAAATTTCCCACCTCAGAAGATTCTGGATGGGGTTCAGGATTCCACCTATGGTCTTATGTAATGCAGAGGCTCCTCAGGAAGCCTCCTTCACTCCAATCAGTTATAGGCAGAAGACGGACTTACAAGCTTTCTATGGTGATGTTTCTAGCTATTCCTTTCTCTCCCCCTCAAGTGTCTATTTTATAATGTTTTGCAAGGGAAACCAAGATTCAAAAGACAGTCAAGAATCTTAACATTGTTTCCCCCCTTTTGCCCTCAATCCCTGTATCCCAGAGCCCTGTTGTTCCAAGGTTGTGCATACATCATTATTTACCTGTGTCCCACTTAGCTCAAGCAAACCTGCCTAATTGTTCTTCCATCTGCCATTTTCTTCCATTCTCCTCCCCTTCTTGTGTATTGCCCCACTCCCTAGCACCAAAACTATTCTGTGTCTATTCCCTACCTTGTGCTCCATCTTCCCCTGCCTTCCCTCACCCTACCCTCTACATCCCAGTAACCAGCAAAGAATCCCCCACCCCTTTTAGTATGGGTTTCTTTTTCTTATTTTTCTTAGTCTTTTACAATAGTGGTCCTATGCAGTATTTCTCTTTTGTGACTAATTTCACTCAACATAATATCCTCAAGGCTCATCGATGTTATGCGGTGGCTTGCAACTTCCTTGTTATTCTTCAAGGTAGCATAGTATTCCATTGTGTGTATGTACCACAGTTAGTTTACCCATTCTTCAGTTGATGGGCACTTTGGCTGTCTCCATCTTTTTGCTATTGTAAATAGGGCTACAATGAACATTGGTGTGCATATATCTACTCGTGTTATGGCTCGTATTTCTTGTGGGTAAATACCAAGTAGAGGAATTGCTGAATCATAAGGTATTTCTATTTCCAACCTTCTGA